GCTAGCTAGAGTCAAGCCAGTCTAGGCTCTACACTGCAGTCTATCGTCTCTATTACCGTCTTATTATACCTAGAAATATTTCAAGCTAACCTTTCTTTATTTCATTCTGCTCAATTGCAAGATCCCAAAGCGATTTATCCATGGTAATGGTTTATAGCATAGAATCTAGTGCCGAATCTAGACTCTCTCTCTAGACTATAGATCTACATATATAAACAAAATATTAAACAAACTATTCGGAAGTAAACAAAAAGTTGAAAAGGCAGTTACGCAGTGATAGATATTGCAACGCCTAAATATTTTACTAATTAATATTTGAAATGACAAAGAACTAAAAATCCTAATTTAGAATCTAATTAAGATGATTTTCATTGTAGTTAAATACAATTATAATCATATAATAAGATCTTTCTTTTTTCTTATTTCTTATTCTAAACATATGCTGCGGTACTTTAACCTTATTGCCATAACAAAAATGGCAGTATTGGGAAGATTACTTGGCGACGACGTAATTGAACTTTATAAAAACGCTAAATTTCTCTCTGATGATGAGTCGAAAAATGATCCCGAAGATGAGCCATTTCGCTCAAAATACAAAGCACGAGAAATTTACAAGGATATCTGCAATAAAATCAAAGATAAACTCAATTGTAGTTCAGTTGCAAACAAGACATTACTAACATCGTTAATATGTTTGGAACAGGCCATCGGTCTCAATTATATGGATACAGAAGAATTAGCTGAAGGCGAAGACTGTTTAATGTCATGTCTTAAACGAATTGAAGAATATGGGTTAAAAGAAGCTGTCAGTTTACATATGAACATTTTAAATTACTTAGGTATTCTATGGAGTGACGGAAGAGATTTAGAGAAGTCTTTAGGGTTTCTGCAGCAAGCAGAAAATTTGTATTCTAACTATAAAAAGGAAATAGGCGATGCGCCTCTGGCATATATTGAATTTTTAGAAGATTTTGAGGGTGATGATAATGAAAAGGCCTACCAACGTTGCCAGTCTTTTGAAAACATTCACACACATACCTTGTATTACTTGGCACAGGTGTATGCAAAGCTAGAAAAAAATAGCTTATCTGCAAGATATTGTCATCTAACGCTACAAAGGCAATTACAGGCTGGTGATTACAATCCTGTAGACTGGGGATTAAATGCTGCAACCCTGTCTCAATACTATTTAACAGCTGAGAAATATACAGAAGCTCGACATTGCTTAGCTAGTGGCTCTTTTATATTTCAAAGCTCCAAGAAAAGCGCAGATCATTTGTCTGAGCAAGATTTGGAAGCCCAGTGCCAAAGAGAGGCAGACATTGAGAGGTGCTGGATTAAGTATGGACTTGGGCTCTTGGAAGCTTCGAGAGATAAAATGCTGGGTGAGCTTGAAGATAATGATAATGAAAATACTGAAGGGCCATCGTCTGTTGTAAGCAGACCTGACCACAATGCTGATAAACAAGTGACTGATGATATTATGTCAGAGTCTTCTTCTGATAAAGTATTTCAAGAATTTCAGCTTGAACTGACTGCATATGAAGAGCGGATTACTGACAGGCTTATCAGAACATTTGATGAAGCTAGAAAGATTTTCTTATTTGTCGTTGATAAGATAAAAAATGGTCTGAAGTTTTACAATTTAGAATCACATGCCAGTGATGCTGTTCAGATAATCCAAGATCATAGTCGAGCTTTTAAACTATTAGCTTTCTTTGAGCTTGACATGAACCGTCAGTGTCGAATGCACAAGCGTCGCATTGATATGCTCTCTGAATTGCTGAGAGAACTAAATCCACAACACTACTTACTAGTATGTCGTCAGATTATTTATGAACTAGCAGAAACCTATAGTGAAATGGTTGACTTAAAAGTAACTTTAATTGAAATGGAGCGGACACGAGCCACACCATACAGTACTGCTAAAATTAACAAGCTTGTGCAACAAAGTATTGACCAATACCAAGCTTACATTGACTCTCTTAAGGGAGGAAAATCTGAGCTTCCGTCAGAATTTCCAGAAGGTGATGTCAGACCAGCTTTGGTAGCCTTCTTTTGCATGGGGCGGCTGTACTCAAAGTTCCTTGAGCCCCTAGTACCTGAACGTTTGGCTAAACTAACTAAGAGTTTGGAGTGTTACAAATTTGTTACCAATTATTGTGAAGCCAATCCCTCTGCCAAAGAACTCATTCCTAATGAACTTGGTCTGTGTAAAGAAATGGTCTCACTCTTGCCCGTCAAAATGGCCAAACTTCTTGAGCAGTAATAACTGTCTCAGAGTCAAGTTTAATTCAGCTTCAACTCGGATAAGTTCATTAAAACCTGTATCCTGTGATTTCCTACTGTAACTGTTGAACAATGATTTAATGTCTTGGAACACCCCCAAGATCTCTATTGTAACATCATAGATTTTATTAAAAGAAAAATAAATTTAAAACTACTTGAGAGAAACCCATTATAATGCAAAAAACAGTTTTGGCTTTTCTTTTATTGTAAATTATGAAAAATAATTTTTAATGCAATCTAGGTCTGTGGATAGATAATAACTGCATTTTTTTTGTTTGGATTATTGGACGCACTGTCTTGTATTTGAGAGGATAATTGCAGGTTTCAAAAACTAATCACAATTATTTCAGTTAGCACTTAAAACTTTATACAGTATTGCATGCTACTAAGCTGAATGTTTCATATTCAAAGATCAGGTATATATGGCATTTTAAAACATTTCCAATATAAATATTCTAGTACTCAATGCATTAGTTTTTGTCAAAATGAATAGATCGTTGGCTTGTTGAAGTTTGAAATCTAAAAACAGACACCTCATATTTAATAATTTACATTGGCTATAAAAATTCACTAAAGTCTAACATTCTTCAGATTGATTTCACAGTCCATTAAGTAAGGTTTAAATGAATAGTGCAGTGATTGAGAGTTAACAATAAAAGTTAAAATATTCTAAAGAGGACATTATTATTTTAATAATAGTAAGAAACCTACGATTTCTTTTTTTTTTTTTTCTGAAACATTTGATCTATTATTTTTACAAAGCTTATTCCTTTTTTGTTTTCATAAAATTTAGTACTAGGAAAATGATTACAAAATCATCAATGCTATACTTATGTGATTAATTGTAAATTAATAATTAAAAATAATATTGTTTGCATAACAGAAAATTCTGGGATATGTTTTGTACTATATTTACAATGTTGTTAGAATTTTGCTTCACAGCACATTGTCAGTATTAAGTGCTTCTTGAGTTAGATCAGAAAAATAAAAGCCTGTGTCTTTTGTTGTGACTGTAACAATTTGAAAGTCTAGCTGTTGAGCATATGTTTTCAAGTACTTTTGTTAAAGCAAACTTCTAAATATTTGCTGCTAATTTAGAGTGTTCCTTAGCAGCAAAGATGAAATATTCTGAGCTTTATTAAACCAAAAGTCAGTATAAATAAATTCTTAGTTAAATTGAAAATAAAATGTAGTGCTGAATGTTTATTGTGAAAAAACTGAAGCTATAGTGCAACTTCTTAAGGAAAAAATAGGGTGAAAAAATATGAAACATTCTCACCATGTTTGTTGTCAAATTTGTGTTTTACCTTTCGATGTTCTTTCAAAGTTGAAGATGATCTACTTCCTAGTACAAACCTCCCACAGGGTATCTACCTGGGACCATTGAGAGACCTAATAACAGTTAAAGCATGCATACTGCATGACCAGGGTCCCACTATCAAGTCACATGTTCTATAAATATTTCTTAAACATTTCTTTGCTTCCTGCTTTGAATCTTATTTTCATAACCCCTAACAGACATAAGGCCTAATGTGTGAAAATTTTTACTTTCACTCAGTTGTTTACTGCACTTGAATATTATCTATCAATTGAATTTAATCTTTCCTGTTATATTTTTTTGCCAACTTTCTTCCTGAACAGGTGTTTTGAACATTCTATTCAAGACTGTTCAAAAGAAACCTGTTCATCAGATCTGTGATTTTTTTTCTCTTGATTTACTAAGCATATTGCTAATGTTGAAAGGATATGGTGAAGGGTTAGGGTTAACACACTGTAAAAATGAGAGAAATAAGACCGTAGACTCAGTGAAAGTAAGGCCACCTAAATTACGAGGCCACGGTGAGAAGCATTTTTCTCTCCCAAATATAATCTGAAGAAAATGTCACTGCAATACCGTACTAAATACACCAGTTCTACAGTCTATTATTTACTCAAGATCTCTTCAAAGTCATTTAATGACAGGTTATTTTTTTTCAAGTTTGTGACTCTGAAACAGTCTTTTTTTTTTTTCTTTTGCTATTTGTAAGGATTTTTCCAATGAGTGTGCAGGTGTCTTGGCATCTTAATTTTTATATTTCAACCTTTTGTAGATTTTCATCTTTTTAATCAAAACAAGGTCAATGGTGCTAAATAATTGTAACTAAATTAAAAATTTTTTTATTTTGTAATTGAATACACTAGCTTATTATTTTAAAATGCAAAATTCTATTTGTTTTTATATAAGTTTTAAGTTGAGCCGCTGTCACAGTGTGGATGTTTCATATTGAAATTATTTTACAACTGATTCTACAATGCTTAAAAGTTATCTTATACTTGTAGAAAAGCTGACCAAGCCTTCCTTTAGTGTCCACACAATTGATACACCAACAACCAAAGCTCACAATTTAATTTTTTTTGCTCTACACATTCGTAAAGTTAAGTCTATTAATTTTAAGCCAGATTTACTCTGATGATGTTATGTGCCAAGCCTATAATTATTGCTGGTATTGTCTTAGTGTAAACAAATGAAATAACAACAGAAAATTGATTACCAATATAAAACAAAATCAAAGTGTGAAGCGCTGTCAAGAGGCTAAATACGCTTGAATTTGGCTCGGCTACCTATGAAGGGGGCTCGAGGTTCAACGCCCGAATCATTCAGAGTTGTGTTTACTGAGTGCCTAAAGGCAGCACGGAAAACCTTCTCCCATAACCCCCTCCTACACACTGGTCCACCAACAAGATAGGATCATAGTGCTCTAAGCATGCTAAGAGCATGAAAGTAGCACTATATAAAAGCTCTAATTATTATTAAAGTAAATCAATAGCAGAACTCCAGAAGTTTTTGTTCAGAATTTAATGGTCAGAGTATAGAGGAAATGTATAACTGCACAACCTAATCATGTCGTCACTGGCTCACTGAACTACATAAACCTGCTAGTTTTGACTGTTTAGAAATTACCACCAGTCATCAGCTTACAGGGAACATTTAAATATCAGCAACTCTTATGAAGAGAAAAAAGTCAACTATATTGGACTGAATTCCATCTTACATTTTGAGTCCTGCTGTTTATATAATATACACATTTATACATCAAGTTCATACAAAAATACTACATGAAACATATTTGTTGTGAAAGTTATAATATAGATAAGGGTTCCTATATACACTAATATACTCAAGCCTACTTGTTTTTATATATACACCATACACACATTATTTTGTAAACACATATATTTTTGTAGATAGTTTAGATCTAGTTTACATAAATATCAGGATTGAGATAGTGAACTCTTGATCAGAGTATTATTTGGTTGATGAAAACAAAATGAAGGAATTCAATGATTCCATTTTCTATTATAACTTTTTTACAATTTTGTAATTAAAATGATGTGAAAAAAGCAAACTCCACTGTTATCTGACCAGTTTGAAATATTATTCAAGATTAAAATTTTTTAAGCTGAAAAATAATTTGATTATTTTTAATGTTGAAAAGATAATTATTAATTGATATCACAAAATATATGGTTCACTTTCTCAAGCTTAATCATACATAAGACTTTATAGGTAGATTTATAAGAAAGTTTATGCTCACTGTAAGAGTACCAATAAATGCATACATATATTACTCATAATATGACTAGGTACTGTACATGCCCAGTTCAGCACTGCACAGATTCTATAAAACATTCACAACAATACCAAATGAAATGTGCAAAGTCTACTCTATTTGGCTTTGTGGAGAAAGGTCAACAAAAGAAAAAAACATTCAGAAAATAGTCTCACAACTTGCAATCTTAACAAAACACTATTGTTGTTGAAAAGCAAAACATTAGCCTCTATTGCACTTCTACAGCACACAAAGTAGCAATCAAGTACAAACTATTCAATAAAATAGCTTTGGTTGTGCCTGTAGACTATCATGTGTATACAAACAATAAGGTCAAATCATTAACCTTGAAGTAAAAAAAAACAAAACAAAAAGTATGGACTAAAATAATGGAAGCATTGAACATTCTAGAAGTTCCATGGGCTCACAGTTCTAGTAAGAGAAGGACATTTTAGTTTCTAGCGTTGTCCCACATTTTATAGGTTACTGTCATCCCACATACTAACATCCCAAGAGCAGCTGGTTACCTCAGCAGTTGATTGTTGACTTGAAGTAATACAGATTTAAGTTAGATGCATTCCTGATGCTTTTTTTAACATGTAGTGTCCTTAATTTTATTGTACATAAATCATCACAACAATGTCCAGCAGTATTTCAACAATGATTGTCACAAGTTGACCAAAGCATACACTAAAGTTATTGCCCTACAAGACTATACACTACAGTATGTACATAGAGTACAAGTATGTACATAGATCTATGTACATTTTTTTTGTGACAGAACCCTGGATGCAAGACAAAGACATTAAATATAGGTAGTATATTTGTAGTCAACACAGGGGATTAAATGAGCAAAACACTTAAAACACTGCTCCAGATGTGTTCCCAGCAAAGTGCTGATGAGGCTACTCAGCAGTTAAAGTCCAGCAAACTAAAATAACAGGCTAAGTTCACAGTGCTCAACATGATAACACAACTAACTCCCACCCTCATGCTGCCAAGTCAACATGTTCTCAAACCTCAACTTACTGTAGAACTGAAGTCTATTTTATGTTAACAAGCTCACAGATATATTTTAGAGCTTTGCCAGAGCGTTAGAACTTAGGTAGAATAAATGTGTATCAAAAGGTATAAAAATATATTTAGAAACTTGTATTCAGATCATAAACCATTACAATAAGGTACTGGCAGGACGTGTGTAGTAACAGGAGCAACATGTGACTTCAACATATAGTGTGAAGATTCACCTTAAATATACTCTGGACCACAGTTTCAAAACCAGCTGCTATGTATACATTTAAATGGGAAAACAATTTTTATACCTAATATTCATTTATGTTTTTCAAGGTATAAACTTTGGAATAATTTTTGGTTTAAAAAACAACCCCTCAACAACTTTGCACTTGTACTGAAAGCATACATTAACAATTTTTTTGTATGTTTTACTTTTTAACAAATATACAACATATTTGTCTATGTTTTATCTTAGTGATGAAAGATTTGAGTTTTAAAAAAAAATAGGATGATATGATAATGGATTAATAAGTCCCTTACTAAATAAATCCTAACAGTTATTAAAATAAAAACTTTGAAAACATGATTTGCCATTCTGTAAAACAAAAAGACATTCTCACAGGTACATAAACATTAGGCAATTCATAGAATTTTTTTTAACAACTATCACAAACAGATGCAACACAACGGCTGTATCAAAGATATGTTTTGTTGGGTCCCTGTGGACTTGGAGATGTGTTTACTGGCGATCTATTGTATTGAAGAACCACTCTGTGAAGCGGCGGAGCTGGGTGGCAGCTGTCTGGGATTCCTCCTGAAGTCTGACATTGTCTGCCCGCAGATCCTGTATCTCTATTTCCATCTCGGACTTTTCCTGTTTGACCTGAAACCAGCATGAAGAAAATTATTTTTAAACAAGCAAAGAAACCTAAGAATAAATAAATAAAGGTCTTCAGATAAGGCTTTACTTACTAATAATGTATACATCATTATTGGACACTTTGTTTTTCTAACACAACTTTTCTTTGTGTTCATGTTAGTAACTATCAAATTATTGACTTGTATTTTTCTCAAATCTACTTTCTGACACTACTACATAATGTTGCTGAGCACTTTTAATCGATATGATTGGTAAATAATGTCAAGACATTCGTGTCTTCAAAATATCATCTCTAAAAAATCAACAAATCAGTTTAAAAGATTTAACATTCCACTCATCAATGAAATAATTGATACCTTCAATGAGAAAAAGAGGTAGCACTGAACATGAACAAGTTTAATGATATTTGATATTTTGGATTTTTGGCACATCAGCACAATTTAGGCCATGTTGTGCCTATATAATCCCTCAAGGGTTCCTTCCCTAATATAGGTCAAGTGCTAAGAGTTACACAATTGAGGTATTAAAAATAAGGTGAGATTCATAACAAATGAATATTCCCATTTGACTAGAGTAACACCTTTAGCAAAATCACTAAATCTAGAAAGCCTTCAGAATAGAAGACTCAAAAGTAAAGTAGCAGTTATATATAAAACACTGAACCATTATCTTCAAATAAAAAAACAAAATCTAATAAAATACTCAGAAAGACACAAAGATTAAGGCACATTCCTTGTTCCATATGCTAGGACAAATTTGTACAAATTCTCCTTCTTCCCTAGTGCTACTAAAGCATGGAATGGGTTGCCTGAGCTAGCCAGGAAAGCGAGTGACTTAGCAGACTTTAGGTTATTGGTTAACATGCATGAGTAAATGCGTGACGGGTAGAAGTAACGTCTGTATTATATAAGATAAGAAGATAAGGTCCACTCACAAGTCAAATAGTAAAAATTTTTATAATCTAATAAAATTGTGTTGTAAATATGTATATATTTATAAGTACTTTGCCTGATCTCAACTAAAATTTTAGTAGTCAACCCCACCTCCCGGATAAAGCCCAGTATTTTCCCAGGATCAACACAATCAAATAGTGTTTTGAGGTTGTCTGTTCTAAAAAAGGCAACGTGGCAAGAAGCCAATGGTGACTCTCTTGGAATAGTTTGTAGTAAACAACAATAATGTTGGTTTTAATGGAATGCAACCATGCTAGCATCTGATCCTTCCTACTCTACCACCCAATCACTAAGGTCAAATACTTTTGCACTGTGCTGCAAGAAAACTTGGATTTCAAAGTCTTAGTTACTTTTGACTTACCTCCCTCCCCCCACCCATCAACCCCCACAACGAAATTGGTCAGAGAAATCGACAAGCTTTATTATTTCAGATTAAATTTGATAATCTATTAAAAGAATTTAAATGGAGATTTTCATATAAAGAGCTGTATTTGTTGTATTTAGTCTAAATTTTTTTTTAGCAATACAGAAATATTGATAAGCTACAGTTTTTTTTTTCAAGTTGGCAAGAATGTTTTAAAACAGCTTCTCCACGGTTTGACTATTTATTATCTTTCCCCAAATATTCCTCTTTTCATTTTCATACACTTTTCTTGCAGTTCCATTATATCATCCCCCCTCCCCCAACACACACACTCATACATCTCCACATCTTGCTTTCTAGTCTATGTGTTTGAAGAACAAAAATAGAATTTGAAAAATCAAAATGTAAATAAAAAACAGCTGAAAATCCCAATAAAAATGTTATCAAATAAAATAGGTGACTTAAAAAACAAACACCATCCATTAAAACAAAAATGTAATGCCATTGATTGAAAAAACAAAAATGTAATCTAATAAAAGAAAAGAATATTGAAGGTAAAAAAAAGAAAAAAATAGATTTAAAACTTCGAGTAGGTCAGACCAAACCAGGTGAGTGTAAAAACACCAAATGTGCCAAAGTGATCTACCTGCTACAAGCCAGACAAGCTAATTAATCCCTATTACCTCTCACCTTATCCAGTTCCTGGGACAACTTTGTCACTCTCTGTTCAAGGTCAAGTATTCTTTGTTGTGGGGTAGTGGACATGGACGTATATGAAGAAGGCATTCTAGAAAATATCAAACAAAATGTCACAATAGTTAGAACATGGTGGCGATAGTGCTGTAATGAAGAAACTAATGTTATATTTTTGTTACAAGCAGAGTTCTTTAATACTAGGAAGTAGATAGGTTTGGTGCCAGCAGTTATCAAGGAGGCTTGGTGATCAATGCAATAAAACAATTACCTACACATTTTCAACAGGAATCCCATCATTCATAAAAATTCAAACTCTAGACTAGATTTTAAAAAGTTGAACGCCTGGGCCACCAAAGTGATATATGCCAAGGCCACCAAAGTTATTAGCATGTATGCCAAGGCCACCAAAGTTATTAATATGTATGCCAAGGCCACCAAAGTTATTAATATGCATGAAAGCAAAAGAGCTTACAGCTCAGCAGTAAAAAGAAATGGCCAGATGAAGAAAAAATAGGTATGGGCTATATAAGATGAGGAGGGTATACCATTTTTAATTAAGTAAAGCCATGCAATACTTTCATTAGCAACTTGTTCTGGCAAACCATTTGGAGTATAACGAAATTAGCTTGAAGAATGTCTTGTTTCAGAACAAGTCAAGTAAAAGATGAGGATACAATCTAGCTGTGTATTTCCAGACAATACACATTCTGTGTTTAAAAGAGTGAACTTGTGAATTTTAATTGTGATGACAGAATGTTGGTAAAAAAATGTTGGTAAACACTTCTACTCTCAACATAGACTAATTACATCTAATTACTAAATATTTCAATGGGTTTACCCAGAGGTAGAGTTGGTTAAGCCGAGAGACATTTCAGGAGACGGAGGCCTGGGTGGAGGTTGGTCATCTTGTGAATCGCTGTCCTCATGTTGATGGCCAGCATCTCCTCTCCTAAGACTGGACTTACTGCCAGAATCTGTTTCTAAATTTGATATCAGGAAAAAATACAGTGACACTGAAAAATGTTTGATTGAAACTTAACTTCACAAACACAAAGTAGGGTAATTATTTTCTGGTTCATGTTTAATTCTTTCTTTCTTTAATTTAACAAAGGAGACTTGAAAAAAAAAAATTAAGTATAATCCAAGTTAAGTAACCAGAGGAACAATCTAGTGACCCAGATCTATACTGAGATAACTGTTAATTGCCCACTGTGAGTTCATCCTTTTATATTTTTTAGGAACATAAAAAAAAACAACTCTACTGATGTAACTATTAATAAGAACATAGTCATTGTTTAACATAGGCTCCTATTCATTTGTTTCAAATGCACAGAAATCAATTCCTAATTCTGACATAAAGTTTGTAGTTTGCCTCCTAGAAAAATAAATTTTAGAAAATCAATAAAATAAGATTTTGTACATTGACCAAATGTTTCATTTTTTAACAATTCTGATGTCAAAAAAAAAAAAAAGAAAAAAAGCTATTTCCAATAAATTAATACTATAACTATATATCATGTGAAAAATAATGCATTTGATCAGATCCCTTTGCTAAATGTTTTCAATAGAAACATACTGACCATCAATAGCCTTTGAGGCCACATTGACCAGTTTGGACCAATCCAGAGCTGCAGCAGACTCCATTAATGGGACCCTATTATCCATTGTAGATTTACTTCTCTGTCTAGCATTTGCAAGGTCTGAAACTGCTCGAGGCGAAAGTCTGAAGATAATATAACATATAAATAATTCAAGATCTAGTCTATTCTGACACAGAGATATATAAAAATAAGTCAGCATTTAGTCTACACAAACACATATACAGGGCATAATCAAGTTGAGACCTAGTCTACATGAACATATAAACACATATGTAAATATCAATACAAAATCATGTATATGTGTATATTTAAGTAAAGTAAAAAAAAAATATTTCCATGCTAGTAGAACTGATAAGGCTACAAAAGATTTCAAGTGACTTTCTTTTCAGCAGCTCCAAGAAACAG